CACTCTACCCTTATGTGTTGTATGTGGGGCAGGATGTTCCGCACTTTACAGGAGAAACTGGAAGGAAGCGAAAACTTCGGGAGCTCAAATCATTGAGCAAACCTGGGTGCATTTACAGCACTTTACCCTGCAAACGAGAGGGCATGTGAGAAAGCGTGGATCGGAGCACAGCCAGGGTCACCTCTTTTATTAATTGATGCCTGGCAACAATCGGTGGAAAGGCTTCACCGGTTGCACTGCAATCTACGACCCTTCAGAAGTGGGATAATTACTCTGAATACAACAGCCCGCGGAGTATTTAGTGGTGAGTTCAGGGAAAGGTGGTGTAGTGGCAAGTGGCACGCTTACCATGCGCGCGGTCCGTGAGGCAAACCCTGGATCGGATCCCGTACAGGCCAACCAAGCCTTCTTTCCTTCGCGAACGGTAAGTTGTACCAGATTTTTCTGGGAGGATAAAACATTGATTCATACATCGGCTGGCACGGTAGACACTGTATAGGCACATTGCATTCAATATGTCCTAACGATTCTTATGGAAGTAGATGAATATCGCATCCCAAAATGGGAAAATGGGAAGCGACAAAAAAGTTATGGGATCAACAGCGGAGACTTTCTTCTTATCCTTTACTTCCTGTCATAGTGTGACCAGTTTTTGAGGCAAAGTAAAAGCAGTGGATAGGGCAAGAAGCAATAGTAAGAGATTCCCTCCAGGTTGGTAGGTAGGGTTCTAGGTATACATTTCAGGATTCATGCTGGTTTCACATTCGTTTTGGACTACGTCTCTTCGAAGTCGACGGTAAAGATCAAAGGCATTTTCGTTCAGGCACGCTAGTTTCATGCTGCATTTAATGAGTCTAAAATAGCCTTCTAAGAGGGGAAGGCCACTAATTTCCGTTGACAACTGTGAAGAAAACCACTGTTACATCCACATCCGCTGATATCAATAAATCATCCGCTAGCTACACGTCTTTATGCCCTGCAAACGGCTTACTGTGGGAGGGGCTAGCCTTTGACTATGACCAAACTCCAAACAACGAGAACCAGATCTGGGCAACGATATAAATAGGAGAGCTCCCAGGTAGGAAGCATCACACATTATCATATCAGTTATCTCTTCTTTTACCAAACAACAGCTTATTGGGCACGAATACCTTTGGTCGATGAAATCTAATTATGAAACTACATATGAAACTATAAATTTTACTTTCATGCAGCTCTACTTCCACTAGCTGGTTTTCATGATAACAAGGGTAGGTTTCCCCACCGGGGGATCATGTTCGCCCTAGCGAAACGAAATCATTTATGGTTGTCTTGTATTGTAACATGCTTGTCTATCCCCCTCAACTCGAAGGATGCTGTATAGGTGAAATTCCCTGCTATGATGAGGGTTTTGGGCAGTGATCCAATGGAAATGAAGGTGATTGTTCTCTCAGAAGTCAGCTATTGAAGATTCGGGTGTCCTGCTTCACACCTTTCCTGTCCTCTTGTATTTGAGTTTCCTTTGACCACCGTATTTTTCTGGGTATAACCCGCAGCCGTCTATATGTACAGCTTCGCGTCTAACGCTGCGAATCCTTCTTTCTCCCTTTACTTTTGCGTATTTTTTTAATTCCTATCTATGTGAATAATCAGTTACGACCCTCTCCCCAAAGGCCAGAGGACAACCCCTACCGTTGCGATTTTTTTTTGCCTTGGTGGTAAAAGTAATGCAATTAGGCAATGGAATCATCTCAACGCCGAATACAGTACCAGTTCTCAGCAGCGTTGAGGACGAAGACTTGAATGGCTAATTTTCCTCCGCTCGGCGGGGTTCCTCCCCTACCCTAAAGCGTTTCTTCGAGAGGGGAGAAACAGTATATAAATTGTATGCGACTTCGGAGGCAGATTTTGAGAAGGTACGTGGTAAGTCGTGGGGATCAGAAAAGGCAAAAAAACCACGTATAAGGATCCCTTCAATTTCGTTCGCTGTACGACAGAAGGACTGCATATTCTGGGCACATCATTAGATGGGGATTTTAGATAAGTTCGTACAACCCCTTTCCCCTCAAAAGGTGGCTTGATACGACCCCTCCCATCAACGCGCAAATACGACAGCCCCTCCCCCTTTTAAATCATTCCGGAGACAACTAAAATCGAACATCAAAAAATTTTCTCAGATTAAATACGACCCCCTCCCACTAGCGAGCGAATGTGACCGCCCCTCCCCTTTGAATCGTCCCTATAACAAGAAGAATCAACTATCAAACAAATTTTTCTGGGGTTAAATATGGTCCCCTCCCACCAGCGACCAAATACGACCTCCCTGCGGACGAGTTCTGAATTGTTATCATAGTAATTGGCTCTTCTTCCTCACCACAGTGCTACGGAATAAGACCTTGTAATTTTCTTTCTTGTGGCATGTGTGTGATATTCTACGTATGCACCATTCGACAGGGAACTCACGGGATGTCTCCATCTATTGTTTTATCAGTTCCAACCTCGAGTTTGCTTTCAGATGGGTTCTGCTGCGTACTACAGTATCCTTGGTACCTTCATCTGCACCGGCATTCTCCTCGGGACCACATTTTTCGTTGTGTTGAATATTGTCAGCGATATTGGCGAGTTCCGCTCACAGGTCGAAGAGGATATAAGTCAGTTCAAGGTAAGCTTTACTATGGTGACAACAACTTTACTTTCAGAACTTCAGTTTTGCCCTTTCCGAGTACTGCAAGTCTTTTAGACCTACGCCGACGATGCATGGGCTGTGATGATGATCAAGAACAAGGTTCCGTCAGCTCAACGTTACCTTTATGACTCCATTGTCCGTATCAAAAGACAAGGATCATATGCGGGAGGTTTCGAGTCTGTCAGTGGTACTGTTGAACTTGGCGGCGGCTGTCAGTGCGCAGCACAAGCTTCAGGCTGCCCATCGGGACCACGTGGTGAGACCTACTAAAGAAAAACTGTGCTGACAGCTCAGAATAGAATTTCGTTCTTACAGGACCTCCTGGACTTGCTGGAATACCAGGAGAAGACGGCACTCCTGGATATCCTGGCGCACCAGGTGGTGCGGGTGCTTCCAGCTCTTCATTCCATTCATCAGGTTGCATTCAATGCCCCGCTGGACCTCCTGGAGCACCAGGGCCAAATGGAGCACCCGGTCCAGCTGGAGCCCCAGGAAATCCTGGCCAAGATGGACAAGGTGGCGGAGCAGGTGAGAGAGAAAACGATCAATTTTCTGTTGATGTGTGCAGCTGTAATCCGTGAAAACTTTTAAGGATACCCAGGACCAGCTGGACCCGCAGGAGCACCCGGAGCCAATGGAAACCCCGGCAGACCAGGACAAGACGGAGCGCCTGGAGCTCCAGGTGAACTTTGTGAAAATTCTTGCACTGTTGAAGACCCTAATACATTACTTTCAGGAACACGATCGAATAGCTATCCTGGTCCAGCTGGTGCACCAGGACCACAAGGAGCCCCTGGAACACCCGGTCAACCTGGCGGCAGCTATGGCTCTGGAGCACCAGGACCAGCCGGACCACCTGGTCGTCCTGGCAACCCTGGAAGATCTGGAAGCCCAGGAGCACCTGGACAACCTGGTGCAAATGGAGCTCCTGGATCAGATGCCGCTTACTGCCCCTGTCCAAGAAGATCACGTAGTTAAATTGCCGCCATTGCTGTGGACTGCGGCAGGGACCTACATTCGGTCGATCTCATGCCACATTAGTAGTCAGAATAAATCCTGTTTGGATAATTGCCTTCTGTATTTAAGGATCCGGTTATCAGAAAATTTTCTCAAAGGTAACCATACTTGCAAGGAGTGAAAAACTTCGCAGCAGATGTAGCTCACTTTGGGGCCAAAGACGGAAGCAGTATTACGTCATTTATCACAAATATTTAGCAGTGACCATGCCTCTCAGCGTACCTCAAAACATGGGCAGAGCATCCAAACAGCTCACTTAACTTTGATCATTGTCTTGGAATGAAACCTGCGGTTCTCCTGCTCCTTTGAAAGCAGGCGCTCTAAAGATCTCCGTACTATACAAGAGCATGTCCTGCTGCCAGTTAATTCGAAGCAAGCGAAAAGAAGCAAGTGAAAAGGGGAAATAGTGCCAAGTGGTTGCGATAAGGACGCTTAGAGTTTACCCGTGTTCAGTCGTATTCCGTCTAACCGCCTCCCTAAACACAAGCAAATTACCGCAACGTGGTGGGGTGTGACGTTGCGACCGTCTTTCGTTCTGATGGGCGGGCGCAGTTCGGCGACGGGGGGGCATTTTGCTTTTTCGCTACTTCCCATCGACGTGTCGACCCATCTAGACAGCCTCTTCTCGAGTTGACAGGTTTTACTATGACTTTTACTATGGCTTGACGACCTTGCTCCAGAGTTCACACGTTTCGCCAGAGCGAGACTTGTAAACCGGGACCAGGGGAGCAGTGACAGTACAAAATGCCCTCCCCCCCCTCCCGTCGCTGAACTGCGGCACTGATGGGCATCTCTCACCCGCGGCTCAGCGTCTCTGCGTCTCCCAATTCACCCTGTTCGTCAAAGGCTTGACTGAAGCAAAAAATGTCGCAAGATTGAGCTAATCTTGCGACCTTTTTTGCTTCAGTCAAGGAGCATATACAAATTCATATTTCAACCGCACAACACACGATTTGCAAAAGCGAATCGTGCTCTGAGGCTGCCGCCGAAAGCCTGTGAATGTTGCAGGGGACTCAGCCTCGCATTTTCCACGATTACGACATACATAAATACTATGATCAAGGCCAGAAACGGTTTCATACGTCCAGAAGAGCAGATATCTGCATGCGCTGAAGATGTCGTTAGTGTCACACATCCCAGTTATCCCCAAATTGCGTCACAGCCTATCGTCCCTTCGACCAGGCCTTCCTTTGCAAGCATCAGGCTTTCGTGAGAAAATCCACGAATAAGAAGTGACAGCGTTTCTAGCGGCACCTGGCAGCCATAGCACCTTTCCAGCAAAGCCCTGGGTAGCCTATAGCGGCTCCTCAGTGCAAAGCAACAGTAAGAGGAAGGCAGTGTTCAGACTTTGTTGACGCGCGTCGACGCATTGTAACGCGCCACAGTTGCACCAGCGATTGTAGCGCGTCACCGAGGGAACTTGCTCACGCAGCCTGAAATCGATCGGCACTGGCCACTAGGGCGGCGTCGATTCGTTCCCGTGTGCGGTTGCGTTCGCGTTCGTAGGATTGGAGCGGTGTTGCAGTTGTAGCACGTCGACGCGCTTCACCCGGAGAAATAAATATTCACATTTTCTTGAGTAGGAACCAGCTTTTAACTAGAATGTAATTCCAGTTTGCGAACACTTTCATATGATGAAGTAGGAAGAAAAAATGTTTTAGTATATCTTGATTAAGTGCGCACCTATCCATAGAGTGGGACAATCACTGAAGAAGAAGATGTTGAAGAAATAACTCTTACTGACGGTGAATAAGCGTAGTCATAGCTATGAGTTCGTCATACAAGCTTTATTAAATCAGCACTTATGGTGAACGACTTTTATAGATCTGGTTTGTGCCATGCCTTTGTGCCAGTAACAGGGTACAGCATCGTTGTGGGTAAACAAATAGGGGGGGAGGGGTCGGACTTATTCGCCGCTGAGTGAAGCGTACGGGGAGGATCCCTAAACGCGGGTCGTGAGCACCAAACAGCGACAAAAGTGGCAAGTGATAGTTTAAAGGCAGTGTCTACGAATGGTTCTTCCTTACTTATCTGAAAATGCTAGTAGGGCGCTGTATAGTGGAGAAATGGCGAAAGAACGGAGTGAAACGGTCAAAATCCTGCGAAGAAAAAGCCTCCGTTCTCAGTGACTTGTGAATCGATTTCGGACGAGTTTCCCGTAGGCATCTACCAATCACCGCTACCGAAGATACGGTGTGTGTAGTGTAACTCATGTATGTATGCAGCAATTCAGCATCCGCTTCATACCAATCCCTTCGCTTCATAATTTGCTTAGCAAATGAATGAATACGAGCGTCAGGAACGGTCGTCCATTTGTGGGCGGGCGTGGCGGGCGTTTGGGACGTAAAGTTGTGACTTGGTAGGCCTTATAGGGGCACCTTCCTCGGGGAA